TAGAATTGTCAATGCATTTTCCTTTTTAAGTTACACAGTAACAATCTGTCCCTGTGTAGCATCCGGGAGTTCTCTCCACACCAGAGGCCAAGAGAATCATCAGGAACTTTAACAGGGTGGCAAGGGTTCTATTGGAGTTTGAGATGCTCTACCATCACAGCTGGATGAAAAAGGTAAAGGGAGTGGGGAAGCATGAATAGCAGCAAGTTTTGGAATAAGAAGATACAATATGTTACAGAAATTATATTTTTGGCACAGGAGCATGGTTATAAATTTGGATATTTATGGTCATACACAACATTCACATATGTTTGTGTGTTTTCCCCCCACTCACACATTGCCTTCAGTCTCTCTTTTGTTCTTTTTACTCTTTTTCTCTGCTATAAAACTATCCAATCAACCGTGATACCTACTAACCAGATGGAGGATGCCCGGGTTGGCCTGCAGGCCTCTCTACTGGTCAGGTCTCCAGAGACAGGGGAGCTGTTTGTGAATTTTGACCCAGAGATTCTGACCCAGATCAGGGAGGCAAATTGCATGACAAGGATGAATTTGGAGATTCCACCCTTTGCTGCTCTGTTGCAGCAGAAACAGGACACCCTCAAAAAGAACTACAACAAATTACAGGTGGATATTACACACAATTGTACAAGTCTGCAATAATACATACAACTTAATTCATATAGAAATATAAAAGCTAGTACATTGCAGGGAGCAGTAAAAAAGGATAATAGGAGTTTTTGTAAGTATTGTCATGCTAAGAAGGTCATTCAAACGTACATACAGAATTCTCCACTGAGCAAATTAGTTCAACACCGTTGTGAATGAATACACTAACTGTATTAATATCTTTCCTCTTCCAGTTAATGTTGAGCGAGAACACCAGAGTGCGAGCTAAGATTCAAAGTGCTTTTGAACAGCTGGCCATGCCGCATGTAGCTAAGGTAAGATGTGGTTCTTATATCACATTTAAACCACAGACCATGTCCTGCATGTTATTTCCTTATTTATGTATTTGGTAGAAGTATTCATAAATTTATGATTCATACAATTTTAACAACATTAAAAGTTACTGTCCAAAGATCTCAATTGCAATTAAATGTGCCATAGAAGTTAGGGTTATTTTATTATTACAATAGCTATTCAGTCATTTTAATTCAGTTTGAGGCACAAGTGTGTGTCAGTCTCACTGACTGGAAGTCGGTACGTGGGCCTGATGAGAAGGGTCTTTAGTTAATATAAAGATTATTAAGAGCCCTTTTTAACAATCACCTTGTATTGTTAAGGGTGGACCTTGAATGTCTATGCTTTACTGACCTTTCTGTGTATGGGACATGATTTTTTAAACTTCTAACGTTATCAAATAAATGAATAACTACTGGAGAAATGAACAAGGTTGTCACATTCTTTTTCAAAAATACAGGATGGGAAAGAAGAGAGAAAGCATAGTCATCCTTCAAAAATCATACTATTTATACTTTTCTTTTCCTAGTGAAATACTGGATCATTGATTTGTTAAAATATTTTGGTGGAGCTGCTTGTGCAGTGTGAGAGGTCCCAAGAAGATATACTGTAAAAGCAGTCACAGGATAGCAACGGGATAAATTAAAAAAAAAAAAGTGTCTGTCTCTGATAAACCAATTTGTCTGTTTTTATGTGTTGTTTTAATGTTATTAAATTAATATAATTAAGGCCCCTATCAAAAAGGGATCTTTTTTTCAGATTAATTATGTGATATGATAGAAATTTCCAAGGATTGTTAACAGCTTTTTTGTTTTTTGTTTTTTACACAAAAATGTAACATGTGACTCTGGAAATGAGACGGACTTTACAAAGCGGCTACTATACAAAGTGCATCATCATACTTTACTGACTTGGCAGGTGGATGAGGCTATACAGCCGGGTTTGACCTCTCTCAACTGGACATCTCTGAACATAGAGAAGTACCTCAGCCGCATTGACAAGGCTTTGGGTAAGCAAAAAAATCCAGTGAGATCAATATCTGACATGCTGACACATTGGACATCCTGCAACTCAGCACTGGCAGCATCTAATAGAATTTACATTAATGGATTTATTGTACATTCGCTGTTTATGTGTGTGTTTTCACAAGTAACTCTCACATGCAGTATGCATTTTGTCCCACTTTATGCTCCACTTCTAATTTTATTCCGATCTTTGTAAATTTGCTGCCTCATTCACCGCTCTCTACCCGTCCCCCACCTCCAATGCTGGCCATCCTTTTTGCCTCAATTGCTGTTCTGTGTCCCTCTCTTTCTCTTGTCTCTCCAGCTGACCTGGAGCTGTTGATGGACAGGGTGAACGACTTGGTGGAATTTAGGATAGATGCGGTACTGCAGGAGATGAGCGGATCCACACTGTGTGTCTTGCCTGAGGATGAACCGGTCACCTGTGAGGAGTTTGTTCAGACCACCAGGGTAAATAAATACTTTCAAATAAATTAACAGTTGTAGTATGTAGTTATAGTTTTATCAAGCACACCTTCAACATTATGCATTATGAATGAATGATTCACTCGCTGCAGACAAAGCTAAGTATGCTGTATAAAGGAGATTTGAAGTACTGATTGACTCATTAATGACTCTAACCCTGCCCATGCCATGGGATGTCGTATACCAGTTAGAAATCACTGACACTAATTGAAGCCAACATAATTTGGTTGTGTGCCAAAGTAACTTGATTAAAGTAGAGTTGAAATAAAGTGAATTGTAAAGAAATGTTAAAGAAAGTGTTAATTTAATTCTCAGGTTTCCTTTGCATGAGTTTTGTTGTGGTTGTGGGAGCCCTGGTAAAAACCCTAGAGCTAATGCTATGCTATAGTATACTACCCCATATATAGCATATTTAATGTTCATGTCAAATATATATATGTGTGTGTATTTAGGACCTGTGCATAAGACAAGCCCAGAGTCTCCACACTAAGAGCTCACTTGTGGAGGAGGCTGCTAATGAACTGATTAACATGCTACTGGAGTTCGACCACAATCAGAGAGAGGAGGTGGAGAAGGTTGAGGAAGAAAGTTGCGCTGAGAGCAAGACCATAGACCACATTGACAGTGAAGGTACGCTAACATTTTCCTTTTGAGATCAAATAGAATGGGATATAATAAGGTGCAACAGAACATACTAGAGGAGAGAATATATATATATATATATATATACAGTGGTGTG